TGTTATTATATGTCACGGGAGATTATTTAGCATTTATGTGTGAGAATTGATAGAGAATTTAGGCGTGGAGTTGTTGATGGATGGACTAGCAGTGTTGTGGTAATTGAATGGTAGTGTTTGTGTACTGGTTAAGCTCAATGATTACTTCATTATGAGTCTATTTACCCCTCGTAAATTACCTGGTTTACTGGCGGTTGTTGATCGGTTCATTATTTTCCTTTTATTGCTCCTAATTTTTAACTTACTGATTTTGTATTTATTTTTTATTTAAATTTTTATTCGTTTTTTATTACAGCAATTTTTTTTTTACATTTTTACTTATTTTTTTTTTTAATAATTTGTGTTTTTGTTTTTATTGGGATATTTTACCTTTATTGGATTTTTGGGGTTTTTTCTGTTTTATTTGTATTTTCCGTAGTTTGTATTATATATTTTCTAGTTAATTCTCTTTTAAGTTTTAGTTTGGTTTATTTTTCACTCGTTTTTAAATTCATTATTCATTGCTGTTTTATATTTTTACTTTTGGTTTAATCGTATTTTTTATTAATTTTTTTGGTTGTACGGTAATTATTTTTTTTCATACGTTTTCGTTAGTTATCGTTGTTTTCAGTTCTATATGTACAGACTAATTTTTTGGTTTTAATTTTGTATTTTCACCAAATTATTTATTTGTAGTTTGAGTATTTAGTAATTATTTTTTTTTAATTTATTTTTTCAATTAAATTTTTATTAGTTTTTACCTTCGTTATATCTATCTATCTATCTATCTATCTATCTATCTATCACAAAAAACAGTATGAACTCACGCGTTAGAGAAATTCACCGCGTGGTCACACTTTGTCAAATTATCATGTCGGGCTGTCTTCGTAAATCAGGTCTGACCATCACTAGCGCTCATTACAGCTGAAATACGCACTATGGGCCTCTCACTCACGCCGGTAAATGTTTGGTGGAGGGAAAAAAATTAAAAACAGCGGTGGTGGTGTGGTGGTGGTGATGGTGGTGTGGTGTTGGTGGTGTGGTGTGGTGGTGGTGGTGTGGTGTGGTGTGGTGTTGTGGTGTGGTGGTGGTGTTGTGGTGTTGGTGGTGTGTGGTGTGGTGGTGGTGGTGGTGTGGGTGTGGTGTTGTGGTGGTGGTGTGGGTGTGGTGTTGTGGTGTGTGGTGTGTGGTGGTGTGGTGTTGTGGTGGTGGGTGTGGTGGTGGTGTGGTGTGGTGTGGTGTTGTGGTGGTGGTGTGGTGTTGTGGTGGTGGTGGTGGTGGTTGTATAATAAACACTTTGGAAATATTGTCCCTTGTGTGTATTTTTTTCAAGCTTGACGTAGATAATAATAATAATAATAATAATAATAATAAATAGATTTGGTTTTGACACTAACGAAGCCATAATCATCTTCATTATTGAGATAGAAAAAAATAATGATTACTTCTAACTCGTCTGTGAAATATTACTGTAATATATCTACTGTATTTGGTGAGTTTGTTGAAATTACGTAGTTTTTCAGTGGTTTTCGTGGACATCTACTGTATAGTAGTAGTTACCATTTCACGTAGTTTTCTTTTATATACAGTTGTTGAAATATATTTAGAATAACTCGTAAATGACTAAGGTTAATCACACGTACTTGGAGTCATTATTGAGGAAGGTGATTGACTAAAGATTTAAGCGTATGTGATCTGGTCTATGCCACATACCTCGAGGGAACATATTTATAATTTTTGGACGAGTCATGCAAGCAAGCAATTGGAAGCACGACAGAGATGAGTTAAGAGTTCATTAGAATTTATACTGTGATGTAGGAGAGCTTACGGAGTGAGGGGTCATGCACAGGCTATAGTGGTGAAGAGATTATGGTGCAAGAATGTTGTTAAGATGTGTTAACTGAAAATACCTCGATACTAGTCATGCTGAACTTACAAATATAACCTTTATTGTGGTGTCATGCAAAGTTTTATGGAGTTGTTGTTTTGTGCAGTCTCATGGAGTTGTTGTTGTCATGCGCTTAGTCCCGTAGAACATCTTGTGGATCAGGGGTCATGCAAGATGTATCTATATGTAATACAGGAGTCTTTTGCAGGTTAATGGAGGGGAGATTATGGAGGTGATGTCTTATACAGGTTAATGGAGGGGAGATTATGGAGGTGATGGCTTATGCAGGTTAATGGAGGGGAGATTATGGAGGTGATGTCTTTTGCAGGTTAATGGAGGGGAGATTATGGAGGTGATGTCTTATGCAGGTTAATGGAGGGGAGAGTATGGAGGTGATGTCTTATACAGGTTAATGGAGGGGAGATTATGGAGGTGATGTCTTATGCAGGTTAATGGAGGGGAGATTATAGAGCTATGATGATTAACCTCTTAGCTGCTTTAAGGATTTGTGAATCAAGGTAACGAGAGGATTGCTTGTGGCCGACATAGGAATCGTCACCCTAATCTTAGCATGACGTCGTTGGTCGCTATGAAAGCTGCTTAGATAGGATTTATTTAAGCTGGCTGAGATAGGATTTAATTAAGCTGGCAAGCCATATACAGAGCTGTGAAAAACTACTCATGCTAATAAATTAACCATCCTCGAGGCTAAGTGTGTATATATATATTCATACACACACACATACATGTATACTGTCATACATATATATATTCCGTGTATGAAGTGTACTCTGTGTGTGTTATTAACCCCTACACGACCCCGTTAATTTTCCCCGATGTGACCGTAATATCGTGTTAACCGTTGTGTATGACCCATTCTCTTCTACCCGTCTTGAGGCAACGGTTACGGTACAGGGAAGAGGGGCTGTTTGTCCTCCCGTTTGTGTTTTGTTGTTTTAATTGTTTACACAAGTTTATTTATTTGTTTTGTGGGTATTTACGTTTTTTTCGATTGTGTATCTGTCCGTTTGTTCATCCTTCTGTCCATACCTTAGCTCTGGGGGAAGATGATAGAAGGGCACACACACACACACACACACACACACACACACACACACGTTTCATGTGTCGCCTCCCAGGTCCAGGGTCAAGACAAGTCAGACATCGATTATTATTATTATTATTATATTGTTATTTTATTATTATTATTATTATTATTATTATTTTATTATTATTATCATTATTTTATTATTATTATTATTATTATTATTATTATATAGATTTTTACTATTATTATTATTGTATAGATTTTTGTATTTATCTTCGTACTGGACTTTTTTTAATTTCCATGTTATTTCGATGTGATTTATGGTGATTTATGGTATTGCTTCTGACGTGATTTAGGATGAACTGTAGCATTCACCATATAACTATTGTCATTGTTTTTGTTGTTATTGACGTGAATGACAGTGAAAAGTAGCATTCACAATATTGTTTTTTGTTATTCATTTTCATTCTGCCATAATTGATAGTGAAAAAGCAGTGTTCAGTATTATAGTGAAAAAGAAAAAGGCTTGCATTCACGAGTTACTTACACAACCCTGATATATAAGCCAGGTATAGATTACAAAGTGGAGAGAGAGAGAGAGAGAGAGAGAGAGAGAGAGAGGGGGGGGACAGGTGTGTGTGTGTGTGTGTAATTGTTCTTGTGGTTCATAATTAGGGGTGTGGAGGATAATGGTGAAGAAATTAATGGCTGGGCTGGCGGGTATTGAGGAGAGCTAGGAGAGGGGGGGAGATTGACTAGATGCTGAGTGGAATTCAATAATGATCCCTTGAGTATGATGACTTAACCCTTTTGAGTATGATGACTTTAACCCTTTTGAGTATGATGACTTTAACCCTTTTGAGTATGATGATTTAACCCTTTTGAGTATGATGACTTAACCCTTTTGAGTATGATGACTTAACCCTTTTGAGTATGATGACTTTAACCCTTTTGAGTATGATGACTTTAACCCTTTTGAGTATGATGACTTAACCCCTTTTGAGTATGATGATTTAACCCTTTTGAGTATGATGACTTAACCCTTTTGAGTATAATGATTTAACCCTTTTGAGTATGATGACTTAACCCTTTTGAGTATGATGACTTAACCCTTTTGAGTATGATGACTAACCCCTTAAGGGATTAAAACATCATACCAAAGGAATCATCATAATCTAGGGATTAAAACATCATACTCAAAGGGTTAAAACATCATACTCTAAGGGGGTAAATCATCATACTCAAAGGGATAAATCATCATACTCTAGGTGCTAAATCATTATACTCAAAGGGTAAGATCATCATAATCTAGGGGTTAAATCATCATACTCAACGGGTTAAATCATCATACTCTAGGGGTTAAATCATCATACTCTAGGGGTTAAATCATCATACTCTTGGGGTTAAATCATCATAGGAAGAAGGTTAAAAGCTGTGGTCCCCAGAGAGAGAGAGAGAGAGAGAGAGAGAGAGAGAGAGAGAGAGAGGGAGAGGGGGGGTAGGGATGCAAAGACTAGGCTGATTTAGTAAACATATTATTTAACACAAGATATATTAGTTAAAGACCATAGGGGGGTTATTTAAGACTGGAGAGGGTCTTTAAGAAGGGCGTAGAGATCAGAGAGGGTTTATGGGAGGTCTTATTTGACGGTAAGGACGTATTAAAGGTTTTATTAAAGATTGTAAAGATGTATTTATGAGGTATTATTTAAGACTGTGTGATAGGGGTTACTTTTTAGACTGACGGGAATTACTGTTTAGACTGACGGGAATTACTTTTTAGACTGACGGGAATTACTTTTTAGACTGACGGGAATTACTTTTTAGACTGACGGGAATTACTTTTTAGACTGACGGGAATTACTATTAAAACTGTGATAGGAATTACTTTTAAAATTATTTGATAGCTTATGACTGTATGAAAAGTTATGACCGTATGATAAATTATGACTGTATGATCTATTATGACTGTATGATCTATTATGACTGTATGATGGATTGACCGTATGATAGGAATTACAATTCAGTCTGTATGCATGTTTCTACTTAACTATGTTAATTTAGCTGCAGTGTGATGTGTTTCAGATGGACGGTGGCGGAGGGTTCGTTCGAGCTGGGTTACTTGGCCTGACCCAGGGCGTCTCCCTTCACGACCCACTGCGCCTACACCACGCCCTACACACCCAGGTAACTCTCCACGCCCTTGTTGACCCCACCCCCACACACCCCACCCACGCGCCCTCTTGATACACCCACCCACCCCCTTGCAGCACCCACGCCCTACACCTCATCATATATATGGGTAAACAACACGAACAACCAAAATTAATGTGTGTATTTTTTTTTTACTCTTGGGCGAACTAACTTAACTACACGTAAGTGAGAGTAAATAGAGAGTGAACAACCCCTCACATCCCCTCCACCCACCCCATCACCTCCCACCCACCCCATCACCTCCACTCCACCCCATCACCCCTCCACCCCCCATCACCCTCCACCCCATCCCCCCCAAAATGAGATATGTAAAAAAAATGGTTTAGAACTGGTTTACGTCATGGCTTCCGTGTGTTTGTTGTCGTGTGTTTGTTGTCGTTGTTGTTGTGTTGTAAAAGTGGGTCTTGGAGTACGTGAAGTCTTTTGTTCGACTGAGTGACGTGTTTTTAGTCCCTTGAGTACGATGTCTTAACCTCATAATTACAGTAGTTTGATTTCCTTGAGTACCATGGCTTAGATTCCCTGAGTACAAATAGCCCATTGATTATGATATCTTGACCCCTTGAGTACGTTGATTTAACTTACCTGAGTACAGTGAATAAGCCAATTGGGTGCGATATTTGTGTGTGTGTGTGGAGGGGGGGGGGAGGTGTCAGTATAATAATGTAACCTTTTAACCATTGTGTTGTGTTTACCCTTGACAGGCGTCTGACAGCGTGAAGGACGGCACCTCCACCACCTCCCTCCTGCGTCCCCTCTCAGACTACCCTCACCTACCCCTCCTCCCCTTCACCGCCCCTCCTTTCCTCCACCCTCACCTTGACCCACGCCTTCCTTTCTCACCCTCCGCCTTCCATCCGCTCCATTCCCACGCCCACGAAGCCCACGCCCGCGCCCATGATGCCCACGCTAAGTTACCCCCACCACCCACGGGCAGTCTCTCCGGGTCGGCGTTCTCCCCTCTGCCAGCCAAGACGGCGAAGATGGAAGATGGAGGATGCTCCTCCTCAGTCATCCCCTGCTCCTCCTCAGGGCTCTTCTCCCCCGCCCTCCTTGCCTCCCTCGACCCCCGCACCGCCTTCCTCACGGGCGGCGGAGGCGGTGGCGGAGGCGGCGGAGGTGGGGGCCTGGGTTTGTTAGAGGACCGGCGCGATTCACCGTCCCCGCGTGGGTCTCACGGGTCCCGGGAGTCCCCAGGCCACGCCCGCGACACCGACACACCCAACTCTAACAGCGACGAACCCAAAGGTAAGTACCGACACCTGCCACCAGTACACACCGCCTTCAGACAACACTAGAGAGATCCCACTGTGTTTTTTGCTGTCTCTAGTCGACCCCGCGTCCACTTTCCTGATCTGACTGATGAATGTTTTCCTGGCGTGAGGGATTTTTTTTTCATCTTAGACTCTACAATACTAATGACCAATTCTTATTCACTCTTATTCACAAAAAAAAATTAAACCTCTCCATTCACTCATAAGCGTTCCTATAATTCACTATGTATTACTATACCTGGAAAATATGGTTCAAAATCTCAATGTTAATTCGGTTTTACTTTTTCCGTACAAATTTTATTCATTATTTCTATTTTCATTCAAGTTATACTGACATACAAGTTTTAAATAAACATCTAAGTATGCAGATAGCTTCGTCTTCTTTTCATTGATTCTTAAATATTCTCAAGATCCACACTCGTATCTTATACCAGACGCCTAATCACTATATGCTATGAATCACCACCACAGGCAAATTACTTTACCGTCAAGTTCTTTCTTATCCATAAACAACCTGAGCCGACCTGACCAATACCTAACCCAACTTAACCCCTTATTGTAAGAGTGGTTAGGTTAAGTTAGGTTGAAATTATGTTTTTCCGATGGTTTTTGGTGCGTTTTGAACAACTTCCAAATAGGTGGATAACTGAAACAATAATTTTACCCTGTACTCAATTGTCACTTCGATGCGTCGTAACAAGCCCCAGGGGTCGGCATCATTAACCTAACCTAACCTAAACTGTCATTACGATCCTAGTTAATAGTTAAGATTTGTTATTAATCCAATTTACTCGTTTTTCTTCAGTTTTGGGAGGACAAGTTCTCTGTGTATTGTAGATCATTCTGGTATTGTCGCTATGGTTAGGTTAGGTTTTTTGAGCCGAGTTTACTCCTCATTTCAGGGCCTCAATACAATAATGTACTGTGATATGTTGTCAGGTCACACAACCAACACGAGGGACTGTACAGTAGTTTAACTCGACCTGTGGTAAAAAGGAAGACGGCTAAACATAATACCAATTTGATATTTAGGCGTAAACCAGCACTCTCGTGAACACGGGTCAGACACGCCGGCTAGCAGTACAGATACGTTATTTAGCCGTGAATTTCTTTTTAAAACAAAACTGAACTAAACCTACCTAAACTAACTGAACTAAAATGTATCATAGAGTAAGATCGTTAGATTGGGTTTGCGTGATTTTTAAAAAGAAGATAAAATGGAAAAATTCGTGTGTGTATTGATAGCTGGTTGAGGGTAAAATATCCACTGGCTGAATAATATCGGCGGTGAGTGTATTGGCCGTGTGGTGGTGGACGGTGGAGGCCCGGCGTCGCCGTACAATGGGCCCCCTGACCGGCCGACCCGCCGCCCCGTGATACAATACCGTGTCCATTTCTGATCGGATCGGGGAGTCAGATTTAATCAAATCTCACTGTGGAATATTCGCCGTCCAGTATTGAATGTCGCCACCAGCAGACCTGTCAGTGCGGGGAAAGGGGGGGGGGGTGTCTTACTAAGTAGGTGACGGACAAGGTTGATGTGGCGCGAAATAACTTGATTCTCGCCGTGGGAGGAAGGTTCTGTGCCTCGACGTTTGTATTGTCATAACTCAAGACAAGTTTAGGCAACTTTTATAAACAGAAAATAAACCTCGAGGATCTTTTTTGCAATACATAAAAATGCCTCACGTGGGTGCTGATCAGTGACCGAAAACCCAGTTAGCAACAGCGGCAGAAAGCGGTGGTAAGGCTGTGTCGTAACCATTTGAATTACAAACGGCATCACAAGGGACGCCACTCAAGTAATGTAAAGTGCCGCAAACTTCACAGTAATTTGGCTACAAACTCAAAGCTGCTGGCCTCGTGCCCCGGCAGGAGGATGAAGCTGTGAAGGACAGTTGGGCCACAAATACACCAAAGAGCACGTCCAATAGGTAATATTCAGTACACTGCTGCAAATTCATGCGTAGTGGCCTTGTGTTCCGGCAGGAGGATGAAGCTGCGACACCACAAACACGTTCAAAAGGTCGTCTCATGGGTAATATTCTGTACATAGCGATAAATCCTTGCATGTGTACTGAAGGATGAAGGTGCGACACATACATTAGTGGAGTCGGGTGTGTATGTGGTGGTGAACTGTGGCGCAGGATGGCGGGAGGTGTGCAGGTAGATGCATTGCCTGTATTAAGTGATTATCTGCCAGTCTGGGAGAGGATGATATATACAGCTCGATGAGTTTGACAACTTAATCGAGCAACAATTCATAACTATTGATCCCGGGGGCCAGTGGTGGCCTTGGTGCCCCGTCCCTGCCGCCGCTCGCTGTCAAGGCTCTGTATGTTTTGTGCCGCAATATTGTAACGTGTTATTTCATTAAGATGGTGCAGTCAGAGGCGCCACCACCGGAGGGAGGTAGGGGCAGGAGGGAGGGGCACCGTTAGATGGGGAAGAGGAGGAGGAGTAGTAGTAAGGGGGGACGACGTCGGGACAAAAGTGTAAATCCAGGAATGGGGCTCAGGTGGCGGGCGCCTCCAGCCGTCCCGGGCGGATTATGCTACTGATGTATGGGCCGGGGAGAACGTGGGGTGGCAGCCACCAGCCCTTACCATGAGCATAAAGGCTGACCCTAAGGGGTGGAAGCTCCCACAGTGCCACACACGTCTGAAGGGGTGCCATGGCCTGTGGTGGCAGAATGTGGAGAATTCCTAGCCCCTTTTGGAGCCTCAGGCATGTAAGGGGATGAACAAGAAGGAAGGCATTGAAGGGGAGAAAGAGTTCCCTCCCGACAGCTGAAGGGGAGCTTGTGGATGTTGCGTGGGGAGTATGGCAGAAGAATTACCAGCCACTTATGAACAGCAGGGGGAAGGAGGAATGTTTAGATGAAACCATAAGAAAGGGTCACCTGAAGGGTTACCTGAAGGGGAGCTCGGTGGTAGTGGAGAGCCATATCTAGGAGAGGGGATGATCTGACGTATGATCACAGGACAAAAGAATCCCTCATCATAGGACAAGAGTGGGGGGCTGCTATCCTGAAGGTTGAACTGAGCAGAGATGAGTTAGAACCAAGACATCTGAGAGGGTTGTCATGGCGTGTGGTCACTGCAGGATGTGGCAAGAGACCCCCTGATGGTAAGACAGCAGAGGGAAAGAAGGAAAGAAAGATATTATGTAGGGGATGATGTCATAAAGGTTGATCCTGGAGGGCAGTAGAGGAGGGGGAAGGGAACTAGGCATCTGGAGCTGTACCTTGATGTGAGATGTGACGAGAGGATCCATAATGACGCTCTGAACATGAGACTCAAGGGAGGATGGCCGTAGGAGTCTTTGTCATGTGAGGGGAGGAAGAAGACTCTGAAGGGATGCCGAGTCTTGTTGTAGGATGCGGACTTGGGCCCTGAGGATACAAACAGCTCATAGGATTTTTAATTTTGTCCTCCAAGAAGGAGGGAATGTTGAGGACAGATTCTCAATGAGTACATGTGACAGTATTTGGCTGAGGTCTGTCAGTTAATTTCTTTTTGTTAGACTGTCAACATCAGGGTTAGACTGTCAACACTAGGATTACACTGTCAGCACTAGAATTACACTGTCAACACCAAGATTAGACTGTCAGCATACTAGGATTACACTGTCAACACTAGGATTACACTGTCTGCACCAAGATTAGACTGTCAACACCAAGATTAGACTGTCAACACTAGGATTACACTGTCAACACCAAGATTAGACTGTCAGCACTAGGATTAGACTGTCAACATCAAGATTAGACTGTCAGTGGAGGGTCCAAGAACTGTTAAGACTCCAGTTTCTCCCTTTTCTTTCTCTCGGCCAGTCATCCAGTCATCCACATGCCATTCAGTCACCTATTTGTCATTCGTACTGTGCATAGAAGCCACACACTCACCCAGTCATCCACTCCAGTCTCCAGTCATTCACACATCCAGTCCCTAATCATCAATACATCTAGTCCCCAATCCATACATTCAGTCCCCAATCCATACATCCAGTTCCCAGTCATCCAATCTTAACACATCCATCAGCTGTTAGTCTTGGTGATTGGATGGGATTAGGCTCGTTAGTTAGTCCCAATCAGTTAAGACTCTTCCCGTGATGGTGATTATCTCCCCACCAACCACCCATGATTCTCTCCCTTCCTCCCTTCTTCAAGCACCCCCCTATGATATCCTTCACCCCATACTCTTCTCCCACCCTCACACAACCATAAACTCCCCAATGATTTCTCCCCATCAAGACCCTGTGATTCACCCCAGTAGCAGCTCATCTTCTTAAGGTCTCTATATGTGAATGCCAGACGACAGGAAGGGGAGGTGAGGTGATGGGGAGAGGGGAGGAACTGGGTAATTTTAATATGGACGTATTTGAATGGCGAAACCAGCTCAAGGCTCTCTTTTGTGGCAGTGAGATGCTAATAATATTCTGCTGGAACGCTTGATCCTATTCTCGTGTGTGTGTGTGTGTGTGTGTGTGTGTCTCTCTCCTCTCTCTCGTCCAATTAATATTTCACTGAGAGAATTAAAAAAAAATGGGTTGATTTGTAAAATATATGAATATTTATCTACTTTACGATACGTGTTTGTGGTGTATCAGTTTACTTTAATGTTATCTAGATGTTTAAACTAAATATGTTGTTCACGTATAACTTCTCCAGTGAGTTATAGTCTCTAAAGGGTAAAGACATAACAGTATTATTAGTTACAATATATGTATTTGTAACTATTGGGTAAAATTCTGGGTTTCGACTTGGGGTTCAATGGTAGGCCGCCTCTTAGATCCTTTCAGCCATAGTCGTGCCCCTGAAGAAGTGGTCAACTGCTCCTGCTGCCGCCTTGGGTTCCTCCTGTGGTCATCGGTCAGACAATTACCCCGACACGGTACTTAATATTACATAGAGTTCCACCTCACGAGTGGTCTAGACCTCAGCCATTGTGGTCGCAGGTGAGGGAGTGACTGAGG